CATGCATTGCTCTGACCTGTGTGTCGCATGTAGTAAGCGTCCTCCGCTTCATCTGCAGCCTCTATGGCCTGAGTGAAGAACGCGTCGCCATCCTCCTCCGCCTGCAAGCCCGCCTCTGCTAGAGCGATGAAATCGCTCAGTCTGCTAGTGTCATCTTTAGCCTCCTCCGCCTGCAAGCCCGCCTCTGCTAGAGCGATGAGGTCGCTTAGTCTGCCAGTGTCGTCCTTAGCCTCCTCCGCCTGCAAGCCCGTCTCTGCTAGAGCGATGAGCTCGCTCAGTCTGTCAGTGTCGTCCTCTGTCTCCTCCGTCTGCAAGCCCGCCTTAGCAAGAGCGATGAGATCGCTCAACCTGGCAGTGTCGTCCTCATCCTCGTCCCTATCATCAGACAACACAATTGGTGATTGAACGGTGCGACCAGCTCATGTTCTGTGCTCAACTAACTTTTTTTTTCTCATACCTTGCACGAGCCACGTCTACGGCATGGTCCTCGCAGGAAAAGAGAAAAAAAAGCACGCACAACTTCCGGCTAAAATCTGAAAGAGAAAATACGCGCACATAAAAGGGAGCTGACGCTAATTACTTTTTTCCAAAAACAGTAAACTGCTGTTGGAGAATCGTTCCCTCCATTCTGCTGCAGCGAACCTTCACCAACTAGTGGCCTCGTCCACCTTCCTCGCTAATTTTTACTATTTAATCTTTTTTTTAATAAAATTTATATTTAAACTCATCTTTTACCTTGGGGTTAACGCTATGAGTCCTGACGTCGAAGTAACACGTCTCGACGCCACAGATTTTAGCGTCGAGATGACTAACCGTGCACAGAAAAAAATTCTACATAATTGATACCTTGGCGCCAGAACAAATGGCGCCGAATTCGGCGCCACGTGTCTTGCCTCCGAGGTACCAACGAAGAAAGAGGTGAGCCCCAAGACAAAGGCGACGTTGTCGGCAGGAGAGCAGGCGCGTGCGGCGCGCGCGCACAGCCTAGACGGCTAGACCTTTTATTTTTGCGCACAGCCTAGACGGCTAGACCTTTTTTTTTGCACACAGCCTAGATTTTTATTATTGTTAATACGCGTGCCAAATTGGGGCGCACAGCACCGTAGCGCACTGTAGCGTTTTGTTTTTATTTGGTAATAATTGTCTAATCGTTGACTAATTAGGCTCAAAACGTTCGTCTCGCAAAGTACAACTAAACTGTGTAATTAGTTTTTGATTTCGTCAACATTTAGTACTCCATACATATACCGCAAATTTGATGTGATGGGAAATCTTCTTTTTACATAGTGCCAAATTCTAGAATTTGGATGAACTAAACGTGACCTAAGGATCAAAAGGGAGCCTGAAGACAGCAGGGAAGCTAAGCTTAGGGCTGGCCAGGACTACAAGCTGCTCACACTGGTAGCTGGCCTGTCGCAGCACCTACACATGTACAGTACAAGCTTTTTGGGCTATTAGACCGTCTCCAACAGCCTAGATAAACGCAGATCCAAACATAAAATGTCTATAGCATAGTGTTTTGGGTTCCGAAATCACGCTCCAACGGAGAAGGCAAACATAACAGTCATTTTGCGTAGCATCGGACTCGCAAGACAAAAAAGCGTCTTCGTTCTCGACAACGCAAAACGAGAGAGAGAGAGGGAGCAGGTGCGGGCCCTGGCACATGGGCGGGGCAGCAGGTGCGCTACCGCAGCAGGGGCAGCCCTCGCCCGGCGCCACGCTCGCGCCCTCGCTGCGGCCCACCTCCCCGCCGGGCTACGCGCTCTGCTCCAGTCTTGGCGCCACGCCGAGGCGCCCGGGCCGACCAGCGCCTCTCGCCACCACGCCACATCTTGCCCAAGGCCACGAGAGGCGCCACCACGAATCGAGCAAGACAGAGAGAAAAGAGAGGAAGGGAGAGAAAGAGAAGAGAGGGAAGAGGGCAGGGAGGCAGAGCGGAGGCTCTGGTCGCCGGGCGGCTGGCCGGTGTTCAGCAACTGAATCGGCTGGGGCAGGTGGCGGCGCGACGGTCCTCGGGAGGAGCTGAGCAGGACGGGGAAGAGAAGGCAGAGGGGGAAAAAAGAAGAGCAGAGCAGGAGAGAGGAGAGGGCAGCGGGATTTAGGGCTTCCTGCTCGGTCATCCGTTGGAGGGTAAGGAATGGATGCCGTAGCTTTTATTACTGTGCGTTATCTAAACAGTGAAATAGGTATTCGATTTAGGTGACGTTGTTGGAGTCAGTCTTAGCCAGCAGATAGTAGCAGACTGCAACGGCACCTTCAGGTTAGGGGCCGGGGTCTATGTATATGCAGCGTATGTACTGTAGATCAACAGTTTGAAGAACAGTTTAACGCAGCCCCAAGCAGAGACAGACGATACGCTGTGAGCGAGCTGCTTGCCGTCTGGGTCTGGCTCTGGCACCGCCGCTCCGATTCTCCCGTCCTTGTGCCACGCAGGGCACGGGCGCCGCGGCTGCGTGTCGCGCGCGCGCACCGCATGAACCACGCTGTCGTGCCCGGTTGGCCCTGCTGCACCTGCACGTCTCCCCCGTTGCCGTCTGGCCTCTGGCACGCGTCGAAAGTTTATGCGGGTGTCTGGTCAGCATCAGGACGAGGGACTTGGACAGCATGAACAAGAAGAGCAAGGAGCACGGGTTTCTCGGCTTCCGGAACACGGTCAAGTCCTTCGCCAGTCGCCACATAGATCGACAGGCTAAAGGCGTACAAGATTGTCCCTTGATGCCTTTCATTTACCTGTTCCTTGTGGTTCTCCGTCCTGATGCTGTATTATACATCACGTCAAGTGATTAACATCTTTTACCTATCGTTGTTGATTTACCTGTCAGAAATCTTGTTTACTACCGTAGCACTGTACAGAGCTTCAAGCAATTTAGCAAGGAGGTACGTACTCCTAGCGGATATAGCATAGGAGCTTAAAAAATATGAAATTAGTCGGGTTAAAAATTATTCAAGGCACATTAGGGTAAAATGAAACCCAAAAGTACTTGATGCAAATATCAGGTAATCAAGAAAAGAATGCACATCATATAATTCTATTTTGGAATAGAATGAGCTGCAACTCTGCTGATAAATATAGCCATGTATGTGGGAGCATTCAACAGTTGAACACTAACGTACAAATTCAGTAAAAGCTGTGTTCGGCTGACCCAAAAAATTACTGTAGCAGCTGAAAGTTACTGTTTATAGCTGAATTTATGAGAAAGAAATATTGTTCCAGATAAAAAAAGAAACGGATCAAGCCGAATTTGGAGTCAGCCGAACAAGGCCACTGGAATCCATTTTTTTGCACCACACATATGATAACATTCACCTCCTTGGGCTCTGCACACCAGATAAGGGTTTGTTTGGTTCTAAATAAGTCACCTACTTATAAGTTAAAAAGTGAAAAAAGTGACTTATTTTGTCAAACACTATCCACTTATAAGTCACCCCTACTTATAAGTTTTAAGTTGGTTCACCCCTACTTAAAACTTATAAGTCATATTTTTTCCGCGTGGGCCCACACCTTTAATAAGTTTATAAGTCATCTACAACCAAACAGGCATGACTTATAAATCATTAATTTTTAATCATCTAACTTAATAAATCAATTGACTTATGGAAACTAAACAGGCCCTGATAAAAAACCATATCAAATCGAGCGGGTTAAAGGATACGACAATAATGTATTCACTATTTAGTGGGCTCTGCACACCAGCTTGTTGTTTCTTGACTCTACTAGGGTCCGTTTAGTTCGCTGGCAGATTTGGCGCCGCCGGAATCTGTAACACTATAGCGCATTATATCGTTTCTTTTTATTTAGTAATAATTGTCCAATCGTTAATTAATTAGACTTAAAACGTTCGTCTCGTAAAGTATCATCAAATTGTATAATTAGTTTTTTATTTCGTCAACATTTAGTACTCAATACATGTACCACAAGTTTAATGTGACGAAGAATTTTTTTTATATAGTGCCAAAATTGGAAATTTGTTGGAACTAAACCAGGGCTAGGCCATGTTTAGTTCCCACCAAATCCAAACTACTATGCTTATCTGAAAAAGAAGATTCCCGTCGCACATTGCGGTATTTAATTTTTAAATGTTGTGTCAAAAAATTCTAATTACACAATTTTAATTGAGGCAAATTTGTTGGAACGATTGAAAATTATTACCAGGGCTAGCGCTACAGGAACCCGAAAGTTTGGCGGCGCCGATTCTGCTCGTAACTAAACACGGCCCTAGTTGAAAGGGGTTACGTACGTACATGTGTCTGTCAGTGTCAGCCCACAGCAGAGCAAGCTAGCTACGCGGTAGCATTTGGCACGCACGTCGTCCTGCTCCACCCACGTCGCTGCGGCCGTCGTCGCCAGCCTTATCCGCCTCGTCGCGCACGCCGTCAGCTGCTGCACCACTCATGCCGGTCGCCAGAGTAGATGGCTCTGTCGGCGCCAAGATCTGTGCGTCTAAGATCTGTGGCACCAAATTCGATAGCATGTATTCTGACGTTCAGTACCGACCACGTCAATATTACCTAAGCTGTATTACTGTGTACGGCAGACACCTCGATATAAAGATCAGTAACGTCGAGACATGTTATCTCGATGACACGAGTCATGATGCCGATCATGGATCCAAGATGAGTTTAAATCTCATAGGAAGCTAAATGTAATTTTTTTAAAAAATGTTAAATTGTAAAAAATTAGGTGAAGATGGCCTACGTGCAGGATCCGTGTCCAGACACCGACCGAACAAAACAGCGCCCATGTATGAATAGATTCTACAGCTGTACAGAGGCTTTAAAAAAAAACAGCGCCCATGTTCTTGCGGCCCACCGTTTTGCGTGCGCGGTGCGCCGCAGTCTATCTTGCGAAATGAGAAACAGGCATCACCCACACGTCTCTTTGCCAGTGGGCTGTCGGCTCGGCATTCTTTGTCGTCACTGGTGAGCGGGATTATTCCATTTCGCCTCGCCCTTGTGTCCACTGGTCTTGTTGGACCTCTTTGTTGTGAGAAACCGAGGCCATGACGGAGAAGACGGTGGTGCTGTACCCCTCCCTGGGCGTGGGCCATCTGAACCCCATGGCGCAGCTGGCCAAGGCCATCCTCCGACACGGCGGCGTCGCCGTCACCATCGCCGTCGTCGACCCGCCCGAGAAGCACGCCGTGCTGGCTGCTGCGCTGGTCCGACTGGCCGCGGTCAGTCCCTCCATCACGGTGCACCTCCTCCCCATCCCGCCCTGCGCCAGTAAGCAATATTCCCACCCCATCGTGCCCATCCTAGACGCGCTCCGCACCGCGAACCCCGCGCTCCGGGCGTTCCTCGCGTCGCGAGTCCCTGCCGTCGACGCCCTCGTGGTCGACATGTTCTGCACCGACGCGCTCGACGTCGCCGCGGAGCTCGCGATCCCCGCGTACTTCTTCTACCCGTCCGCGGCCGGCGACCTCGCGGTCTACCTCCAGATTCCAGATCTCTGCGGCGCCGGGCCGTCCTCGCTCAAGGACATGGGCAAGGCGGCGCTGAACTTCGCCGGCGTGCCGGCAGTCCGCGCCCTCGACATGCCTGACACGATGCAGGACTGGGAGAGCGACTTGGGCAGCGTACGGCTGCGGCAGCTCGCCCGGATGCCGGAAGCTGCAGGCATTCTGGTGAACAGCTTCGAGTGGCTGGAGTCGAGGGCACTGAAAGCGCTGCGTGACGGCCACTGCCTGCCCGGCCGCTCGACGCCGAAGATCTACTGCGTGGGGCCCCTGGTCGACGGTGGCGACGCCGAGGGCAACGGCGAGAGGCACACGTGCCTCGAGTGGATGGACCGGCAGCCCAGGCAGAGCGTGGTGTTCCTCTGCTTCGGAAGCCTGGGCGCCTTCTCGGCGGCGCAGCTGAAGGAGACGGCGCGCGGGCTGGAGCGTTCCGGGCACAGGTTCCTGTGGGCCGTGCGAAGCCGAAGCTCACGCGAGGAGCAGAACTCTCGCGAGCCTGATCTGCAGGCGTTGCTTCCGGATGGGTTCTTGGAGAGAACCAGAGGCAGAGGATTGGTTCTGAAGAACTGGGCGCCACAGACGCAGGTGCTGCGGCACGAGGCCGTGGGTGCCTTTGTAACTCACTGCGGGTGGAACTCGGTGCTGGAGGCAGTCATGTCCGGCGTGCCGATGATCTGCTGGCCGCTGTACGCGGAGCAGAGGCTGAATAAGGTGCACGTGGTGGAGGAGATGAAGGTTGGGGTGGTGATGGAAGGCTATGACGAGGAGTTGGTGACTGCTGACGAGGTGGAGGCTAAAGGTACGGCTGGTGATGGAGTCGGAGGAAGGGGAGAAGCTCAGGGAGAGGACGGCGATGGCGAAGGAAATAGCTGCCGATGCCATCAAAGATGGCGGGTCGTCTCACGTCGAACTTGGTGAGTTTTTGAGGGTTTAGGATGCAAGTGATGGATCTATGTATACTGCTTCCTCCATTTCAAATTACAAAATATTTTGATTTTTTTTATATATATTATTTTTGTTAGGTATCTAGACACAATATAAATACATATCAAAAGTAATGTACTCTGGAAAAACCAAAAATATTTTATGATTTGCGATCGGGGGAGTACTAGTAATAAATAATGAATTGTCTGTAAGGTGGATGCTAATGCAGGGTCTGGGTATGGCTACTTCTCGTTATCGTTGTTTAAGCAAGAAATATATTTAACAGTACTTTTCAGCGAACGTCCTGTTCCGCCGCGCTACTTCAGCATCCGGGCATCGCGATGTGTGGTTCCTCTCTCTCCCCAACGACAGTTCTTCCTCCGGACGATGTCATGCAGATCCCCAACTATCATGCCCACCGCCGGTCTCCGCTGTCGTCCTGATCATCGGCTACCTCATCGTCCGCTTCCCATCCCTGCCGCTTGTTCCCACCCTTAACCTAATCTCAATCAACTATCTCTCCTGCTACCTTTGGCCGCCACCGCCTCGAACGTCGCCATGGCCGTCGGTGACCTCACTGCCCACCACCCACCGCTGCTGCCCGTCTGCCCCGCCCTCCCCTAACCTTGCACGTGGCTGCTCCCATAGCTAACCGCGTCCACCGATTCAGTGATACTTTTCGTCGAACCAATATTTTTTTTTCACAATAAATCAGCATAAGCCAAATTTAAACGAATTGCACCGACAGCTGGCCGCGGTTACCAATACCATTGTCCAAGATTTCTCCGTTTTTGCTGTCGGCAAATCTTCAGTCCTAGCCGCCTCTCACAGTGACTGTTTGGTTTCCAAAATTTTATAAAATTTTTCAAGATTTCACGTTAGATCGAATCTCTGGACGCACATATAAAGCATTAAATATAAATAAAAAATAAAACTAATTACACAGTTTAGACGAAATTCACAAGACGAATCTTTTAAACCTAATTAGATTATAATTAGATATTAATTACCAAATAACAACGAAAGTACAACCGTAACATTTCTCAAAAGAATTTCGTCAACTAAACAAGGAGATAGTCAACGAGGTTGCGTAGTGCATGTTCAGCATCCGACTTTAGCTGCTGGCTGCTGCTATTTAGCAGAGGGGTCAACAAAGGCACGCGCAACTGCACTAGTGTTCATAGATAATCATTGATTCATTGCCGCATCCCCAATTCCACATACAGCGAATGGGCAGCGTCGTGGTGCTATACACATGGATGGTCCGGGGCCACCTCCACCCCATGGCGCAGCTCGCCGACCGCTTGGCGGGCCACGGCGTTCCCATCACCATGGCCATTGCCGACGTCCCGTCGTCCAGCAACTCCCATGAGACCGTCGCCCGTCTCTCTGCCACCTACCCGTCCGTCTCCTTCCATCTCCTCCAGCCGGCAACCGCCCGTTCCGGCGACGAGGCCGACCCCGACGCCGACCCCTTCATCACGCTCATCGCCAACCTCCGCGCCACCAACCCCGCGCTCCTCGCGTTCGTGAGGTCCCTCCCGTCCGTGAAGGCGCTCGTCCTCGACTTCTTCTGCGGGTGCGCGCTCGACGCCGCCGCGGAGCTCGGACTCCCGGCCTACCTGTTCTTCACGTCCGGCGCGTCCCCGCTTGCTGCCTATGTGCACATCCCGGTCATGCGGTCCGACGTCTCCTTCGGGGACATGGGGCGCTCGTTGCTGCACTTCCCCGGGGTGCACCCAGTTCCTGCCTCGGACGTGCCTGAGGTCCTGCTCGGTCCTCACAACGAGCAGTACAAGGCAACCATTTCTCTCTTCGAGCAGCTGCCCAGAGCGAAGGGCATACTAGCCAACACGTTCGAGTGGTTGGAACCCCGCGCCGTGAGGGCAATCGAGGAGGGCAGCCCCCGCCCCGGCGAGCCAGTGCCGAGGCTGTTCTGCGTCGGCCCGTTTGTGGGCGAGGAGACGGGAAGCACGAGTGCTTGACGTGGCTGGACGCGCGGCCGGCGGGGAGCGTGGTCTTCCTCTGCTTCGGGAGCGCTAGCTCGGTGTCGGCAGAGCAGCTGAGGGAGATCGCGGTGGGGCTGGAGAGGAGCGGGCACGCGTTCCTCTGGGCCATGCGCGCGCCAGTCGCGCCAGACGCCGACTCGACGAAGCGGTTCGAGGGCCGGGGCGAGGCGGCGCTGGAGGCGCTGCTCCCGGACGGGTTCCTGGACAGGACGCGCGGGCGCGGGCTGGTGGTGCCGAAGTGGGCGGCGCAGGTGGAGGTGCTGCGGCACCCGGCCACCGGAGCGTTCGTGACCCACTGCGGGTGGAACTCGACGCTGGAGGCGGTCACGGCGGGCGTGCCCATGGTGTGCTGGCCGATGTCGCGGAGCAGCGGCTGAACAAGGTGTTCGTCGCGGAGGGGATGAAGCTCGGGGTGGTGATGGATGGTTACGACGATGCCATGGTGAAGGCGGAGGAGGTGGAGGCCAAGGTCAGGCTGGTCATGGAGTCCCAGCAGGGAAAGGAGCTCAGGGACAGGGTGGCGGTGGCGAAGGATGAGGCCGCCGCCGCGCTGGAGACCGCCGCGTCAAAGCAGCGTTGGACTCAGACCGCCGGATCGTCAATTAGGCAGCTTTTTAAGTTAGTTGACTTTATCAACAACCAGGCCTTATATCAACAACCTGGAAATTTCGACGCACCAGTGAACCTATGAACCTATCAGACACGCACACAGAGCAGAGTCTTTTAGCTACAGAGATGGATTGTGCTTAAGCTAATCTTGACCTTTTGGCGTGATGACTAACTCCAAGAGTTATCCTAAATGATTCTTCTTAGTTCCTAAATCTTTTCGATATTTGGCCATTGGGGCTAAATAAGCTCCAAACTGTTTCACAAAGAGAAGCCCATAAACTTGGATATCCCAAACCCGGCAAGCTCGCTCTTTATTGTTCAGAGCAGGGAGTGGCACCCAATCCAGGCCACTTTCCAGCTCCCGCGCGCGTTCCAAGCCCCGCCCCTGTTCCCGCGTCCCCGCGGAATGCCGCCGGCATGCCGCCACTCGCCCTGGGCATCCCCATCCAGCCGGGCCCTAGGAGCCCTCGTCCGCACGCAGACAATCGCCGGCGACCCTTCTGCATTTCTAACCGCTGGAGACGGAGTACCACCGCCTTGTACTAGAGACAAGTGCAATTTACGTAGTTCGTTGACATCCTTGTATAAGTACTAGGAGTCTACTACACTACTACTAACACTAGTCGACAACTAAATTAAAGCAGGTGTTTTTCACATTTTCCACAGCCTTACGAGCTCCAACAGCGCAGTGCTAGACTCTCCGCCGTCGCTCAGCGCCTCCTTCGCCTCCCGCATCGCCGCCCGCGTCCGCTCACGAAGCTCCCTGCCGCCGTCCGACTCCATGAGCCACTTCACCTTGGCAGCTACCTCCTCATCCTTGACTGTCTCCTTGTACCCTTCCAGAGGCACGGCGAGGCGCAGATCCTCGACCAGGAACACCTTGTTCATCCGCTGCTCGGCGTACATCGGCCACGCCAGCATCGGCACGCCGCCCATGATCGCCTCCAGCACCGAGTTCCAGCCGCAGTGCGTGACGAACCCGCCGACGGCGCCGTGGGCCAGCACCTCGCGCTGCGGCGCCCACGCCTCGACCACCAGCCCCTTGCCCTTGGTGCGCGCCAGGAAGCCCTCGGGGAGGAGTGCGCCGAGGCCGGCGTCCGGCTTCTGCCCGTCGTCTTCCTCGCCACCAGGCGGGCGCCGCACGACCCACAGGAACCGTTGCCCGCTCATCTCCAGCCCGCGCGCCACATGCCTCGTCTGCTCCGCGCTGAACCGGCCCATGCTGCCGAAGCAGAGGAACACGACGCTGGCCTCCGGCTGGGCGTCAAGCCACGCCAGGCACTCGTGCCCGTTCGCGCCAACCTCTTCCAGCGACTTTATCACTGGACCGATGCAGTGCAGCGGTGGCGTACGTCTCCCGGGTGGCGTGCAGAGGCCTGCCACCATGGCGTCGGTGGCGCGTGGTTCCAGCGAGCGGAAGCTGTTGACGACAAGACCGTGGGAATTGCACATCTGTTCGGATAGGGCGAGGAAGAGTCTGTTGACAAGGCTGTCGCGGTCTTGGTAGGCCGCCGGGAGGTCATCTACGGGTATCGGCGCGATGCCCGGAACGTGCAAAAGTTCACCCCCGAGGTGTCGGAGGCTAATAGATGTTTGCTCGTGGATCAAGGGATGGTATAGCAATTCAGCCAGGCCGGAGATGGATGAGGTAAAGAAGAAGTACGTGGGGATGCCCAGCTCGGCGCCGACGTCCACGGCGCTGCCGCAGAAGAAGTCCAGCACCAGGGCGGCTGGGGAAGGGGAGGCGGCACGGAGGAATTCACGGAGGTCAGAGTTGGAGGCGCGGGCGAGCTCGAAGGTCTGCACCACGTAATCGTCGGCGGGCACGTCGCGCGGGCGCGTGACGTACGGTAGGAGGTGAAAGGAGAGCTGGGGGTGCGCAGCCGCGAGGCCGTCGGCAAATGAACCGGCGGCCGTGTCGTCGGTCCGGCCGCAGACGACGATGGAGACCTCGAGGCTGTGCGCTGCGAGCAGCTCGCCGAGATCCACCGAGGCGATCAGGTGGCTGATCGTCACCGCCGGGACGTAGATGACCACGCGCTTCTCTGCCTTCTTGTCTTGGCTCTCGGATGGGGTCGCCATTCCTGGGACGGGGAACCTGGGATCACTGTAGTTCCCGTGAGCTTGAGCGACAAGGTAGCGTGGTGAATGTCGTGGGCGCTTTGCTTTTGATAGGACGCATGCGACGTACTCCAGTACTAGTGCCGGCTGCTCAGCCTGTTTATAGTACTACCCCACGTACTCGTACTCATTTCGGTCCACGAGTCCTACCTACCGGCCGATGAGCCGATCGTCGTCCCGCCCCTGCACGGGATCGGTATCAACAATTAATAGTGTCACGTGTTGCTTCTTTACTCGTCCAACAAACCACCGTAAACATGTGGCTGTGGTTCTGGAGTAGCAGTGGACGTTACGTCGACGCCGGGACCGGCCCGAGTGATCGGCGGCGGTGAGTGGTCGTCGTAGTGCGATGAGGTGGTGATGCTGTGCAAACTAAAATACAGAATCGACTTGTGCATTTAAGGTCTGTTTGCAATTGCTTTCACAACTGGCCACAGCTTGGCGCAAAAGCTTAGCAAGGCCTTGTTCATTTTGCAAAAAAAAATTTAACCCGATGAATAGTACCACTTTCGTCTTATTTGATAAATATTGTTCAATCGTGGATCAACTAGGCTCAAAAGATTCATCTCGTGATTTCCAACTAAACTGTGTAATTAGTTATTTTTTTACCTACATTTAATACTCCATGCAAGCGGTTAAAAATTGATGTGATGGAGAGAGAGTGAAAAAACTTAGAATTTGGATGATATCTAAACAAGGCCCAAACGGTGCGATAAACTGAGGAACAATCCAAATAGACACTTAAACTTGGTATAGCGAAATCCTATGACCGGATGGAATATTCACCGTGTATTTAGTTTTGAAGGAACATAGGGATAGGATAGGATGCAGACGCAGAAGCTCCTAGTTTTCTTCTTCCCCTGATTCCCACACCATCCACGCCGGTAGCAACTCGCCACCGGAGCTCGCCAGCCTTGTCCACCATTGGCTGTCGTGCCATGTCTCCGTATTCGCTTTGGTGCCACTGTCTGCCGGTATTGGGTGAACCAGGGTCCCACAGCGTGGTAGCAAGGGTCAAGCACGAAAAGAAGACCAGGACCAAGAAAATAATGTTGTGGGCCCTTGTCTTTCATTTTTAGCAAATGATGCTGAAAGCTATCGGAGAGAAGGAAAAATTGAATTTCCTACGTTTTCTTTCACTTGGTATAACAATTGGTTTAGTAACTGAATTTTACAAAAAAAAAAACTATCAGAGCTGTTTTTATCCAACTTTCAGTTAGGGGGCCAAACTGGGCAAAAAAAATATCTGCTACTAGTGCCACATGACACCGGACGTGCGACACCGCCCACATACATGAGTCATGACGACGCGTGTCCTTTGGCCCCACCGCAGGAGATGCCCAAGTAGTGCCATGTGATCGAACCGATGAGTCGAGTATGTAGTTTGGCCACTATTAATAGAGAAATGATTTTTTCGTTTCACAATCCAAATAATTTGTTTAGGAGTCAGTACATGAAGATTCCATTTCATTTCTTCAATTTGCTTTCCTCTTTTAAATTTATAGCTTTCATGCTAGCTTCATCAACATTCCCCACTAAATAAAAAGTCTGTTCGGTAGGCCGTCTAATTCTCAAGAAAGGATTAGTTGAAATCCCCTAATTGTTTCTGCATGACCAACATACTTCTCCGGTCAACTCAACCAGCTCAATCCAAAAGCAAATGGAGCCGACCCCACATTTGGGTCTTAACCTCTTAAAGCATCTCCATGAGATCCTTAAAACAACTATCTAATTTGATTTTCTAGCAAAAAAGAAAAAGAAAATCTTTAATGATTTTGTATTCAAAGTCCTAAAAAATATAAGCATTTCATAAATCTCCACGTAAACTCAAATACACGTTTGTTCTTTGCGCTTGCTATATGTTCGGGTGCCCCCTCCCCGTGGTTTTTGTCTCCCTCGGTCTGTCTTCCCTGTCTTGCGTTCGTTTTTCGATTTGAAGGTTAGCTATTAGGCCATTTTCAATGTCGTTTTATATTCCATTTTTCAAGACTCCCGTGTGTTGAAAACGGTGAACCCCAAATTTTATTCTTGAAGACTCATTACGATTCCATAAAACTTTTATGATTTCTCTCTTCATTTATAGTATGACATGCCAACTTATTCAATGGTCATAAAACTTTCATGAACCCCACTAAGACTAGCTTTAAAAACTATTGAATAAAGATAAAGATAGAGTTTTCTATTCATTTCGTTTGCTCGACATAAAACCCAACTTAAGACTGGCTTTAAAAACTATTGGAGTATGAAGCATTTGGAGACGCTGATGCTCCCTACTGAGAGCGTCAACCACTGTGCTACCTTGGCCGCTGTGCGTGGCCTATGAGTTGACAGAGGTCTGCTGACTCGTCGCCCGCCTAGCTGAAGTACCGAGATTATTTTATGGAGAAAAGATGTGCTTACGATTCGTGAAAAATACAGTAGTAGCTTATCACAGTTTCACGGAATAGCTAGTAGAATACCAAGTCAAGTGCTTTAGGTCAAAATCGATGACTCACTTGAATTGATTAGGCGCTTCTCACGGATCGCGACTCGCGATTACAGTTCTGTTGACGAGAACCCTCATGCCTTCTGCGACCAAATCCATTCCTACACCCAGCGTGCCAGTTTGGAGCGGAGGCTTGTAGCCCCTTCGTATCGCGAACATTACCTGACGTACGGAAATCCCCAACTCCAAGCGATCTACACCTGCCTGCAGGCTGCGGCGAGCCGAATAGCCGAACCTCCAGTAGTCCGGGCGATCTTGTAGAGAAACAAAGAGCCAGCCAGGCTCACTCTTTGTCACTCGCGTTTCAGATGTGGCCATAAAAAGCTTCGAGTCAATTTGTGTCAGCGGAAGAAAATAGTAAATCTGCACGGCCCATTTATTGGTCCACTCCACAAGTCCAAACAGGGCAAGTCAAGCCGGCGTGTTTGTCCCGCTCCGTCGCGAAGAACACGTACGCGATGCACGGCGGCCCGCCACAACGAGAAGTTTGTGTCTTGTGCGAAAAATCCGACGTATAAAGACCGCGCGACCCTGCGTCAAAATTCTCACATCCAAGTTTGAAGCAAAAAAAAGTTCTCACATCCAAGTCGCCCCAAATCATCCTCTGTGCTTCCATTCCAGTTCTCTAGCCTCCACCTCATGGCGACCGCGACCGCAGTTCCGTATAACGCCGCGGCGGCGGCGCCCGGGAAGGATGATCCGACGAGGCCGCTCGCCATCGCGTCGCCGACCGTCCACCCGGCGGCGACCGAAGACGCCACCGGCACCGGGGACGAGGAGGCCGTCGCGACCACCAGGCGCTGGCGGTCGATGCAGTACCTCCGGAAGCGGCGGTGCGTGCTGTGGTGCTGCGGCTGCTGCGCCACCTCCGTGGTGCTCCTGGGCATCACCATCCTCGTGCTGGCGCTCACCGTGTTCAAGGTTCATGACCCCGTGCTCACCCTGAACCGCGTCACGCTGGAGGGCGTGGACGGCGACCTCGGCACGGCGGAGAACCCGGTGTCCGTGAACGCCACGCTCACCGCCGACATCTCCATCAAGAACCCCAACGTGGCCTCCTTCGCGTTCGACCGGAGCGAGACGGACTTCTACTACGGCGGGGAGACGGTGGGCGTGGCGTACGCGCCGCAGGGCGAGGTGGGCGCCGACCGCACCGTGAGCATGAACGTCACCCTCGACGTGCTCGCCGACCGCATCTCGCCCAACGTCAGCACCACGGCGCTCATCTTCGGCCAGGAGTACAACATCACCAGCTACACGGAGATCACCGGCAGGGTCGACGTGCTCGGCATCTACAAGAGGGACCTGGACATCAAGATGAACTGCACCATCATGCTGGAGGTGGGGGCCCTCAGCAGCGTGCAGAGCAAAGCCACTGACTGCGTTGCAAATGTCAGCTGATTCTGGTTAGCTGCTGGTCGTTAGTCACCTCCATGGATTCAACAAATATGTGTCGCTTTATTAGTTGTGCTTTTGCCTCTCCCCCTTTCATTATGTATACAAGATACAGATTGATGTAAAGCCACTTCTTCTTTGCTTTTCTTTTTGTCAGAGCTTAGTGACTGTCGTAACTCATATACGTCTATCCTGATGCTGTGAGGCTTATGGGTTTATTTATGCGCTTTTTTATGATTTTTTTTTTTTGAGAAGGCTGCCTATAAGTTCAGGCCACAATCTATATGCTGCGGCTGCGAGTCTGACAGGACGAGAGCAAACCAACTAATCCGTGTCTTTGATATCGATCGGTACTTGGTAGGCTAACCACCATGCTTTCTCATAGTTCCTTTTCTGAGGTTAATGAATCTGCTTTCCCAGAAGCAATGACCTTGTTGATCTTTTCTTCGTTCAGATTCAGAAAGGACAAATATCAGATACAGATAACGTCATGTGGGACGGCATATGGGCCCTTTTAATGCCATAGTTGAAATGGGCCCAGAAGCCAACTGCTCCCTTAGTTGAAATGGGCTAACGGCCGAATTTTGGTAAGGTCTAGTTTTTTAAAAAACATTTCCCAGCAAATAATTCTCAACACAAGAAATCTTCTGGCAGATATTTAGAAATTCTGTTCCTAAAAAAAATGATATTTAGAAATTCTGTTTTTTTTGCGACACTTGTTAAAAACAGTCTTATGGAAGTGTCCATCAGTGATCTACAGTGCTCGCAGAAAAACTAGTGGTATCGTCTGTAGTGAGAGTAAGCCGACAATCTCCCTTTCAAAAGAAACTGGCACGCCTCTGTCATCTTCCCCTCCTCTTCAAATCCGTCCAAATCGTGCAGCTACAGATCTGTTCCATATGGTAGTATGGTACTCCGGTACCAGTATCATACAACCATGACACTGTACAGCCACACTAGAAAAGGTGTTCTTGAGAGTATCCATGTGCGCTTGCCAGCTCCGTCCGTGTCCGTCCCTGCTGCTTCGGTCGAGTGCTGGCATGCTCTGACTGTACCTGATGGATAAAGACGCGTAGTAGTATTCCGGAGGTATAGCATGCCAGTCAATAGTCATGGATGCAGTACACCGTACGCCTGTACGCTCATTCGCCTACATCCTCATGCTGCTCGCCACGCCATTTCTCCACCGTGATAATGGCAGCTTCCTCTTCTTCATCGACACTCTGCTCTAGTAGTGCTCTTCCATCCAGTGACTGGGTTTCTCCCAAGTTGTGCGAGCCACGGCAAGATGGGCACCGGCTGTATCAGTAGCAAATGTACAGAAGAGCTAGTAGCCATGCTGCGTGCTTCAGATTGGCCTTACCATTGTGTTTCTGGTAGTGCTACATCTAGATCTAGACTCGGGAGCACGTCTGGAATACGGGATTTTTTTTTTTTTTTGCCCGGACTCGGAGGAACGGAATTTATCTGCTAAAGTTTCTATGTTCCGAACATGTCCCACGTCGCTGCATTGAGAAAATTTTGCGCCCATAGTGGTAGACCAAGAGATGAGTGCAATGTAAATGACGCATGTAGTCATGTAGATCAAGTATGTACAATTACACACTTCAAGCACAAGGGTGCGACCCACGGTGTCGTCTTCTTCCTACGTTCGGTTCATCAATGCCCCACAGCCTTAGAACCAAGGAGGAGGGGGCCTCAATAGGCGGTCGGACCGGCGGTGGTGGCGGGTTGAGGGGCGGCGGTGAGGCGGCGGGGGACAACCGGATGGTCGGAGTTGGCAGTAGCGACGAGATGCTCAAGCTCTCATCCTTCGGCTAGGGTTAGTGATGACGGGATAGAGCGACGGGGCGGGCGGTGGGCAGCGGGGAAGCCGCTGGTCAGGGGGGAGGGGGGGGGGGTTGAAGGCTGGAGGTGGGAGCGCGCTGGTGTAGTTCAAAAAAGAAGAACAATCTCGATCTTTCTAAAACGGGCGACCAATCACGGGATAATACACTCCAATCATATAACGGAGATCAGTACATGGATTCGACTCAGGAATCTAGGGCACATTTGGTTGGTGGCGCAGTTTGCCACACCAAACCTTCGATAAATTGTGGCTGTCACAGAAAGTTTGGTGAGTAAAAGCCACAATTGTGATAAAGTTTAGCAAGAAAATAAGTCTATGACGTGTGAGACAAGATGCTAAGAAAAGCGTGACACGACATAGTTACGGTAGTGAATCAAACAGTTGCGAGAAAAACTATGGCATGAATAACATGTGCCATGGCAAACTGTGGTTAGGGACCAAAAGGCCCAGTCGGAACAGTTTATGCAAAGCACGGAAGCATGCATCTGAGCTGTTTGATGGAAGCAGAAACGTGTCTACTAGAGGCCAAACGCCAGAATGCAAGAGCCGCCAGACAGCGCCCACAAGCGGACGGCAAATAAAGGCCATAATCTGTTTCCTGACAAGGCCAGACAGCTTCCATGTTCCATCCAAACGAAGCTCATAGTCTTGATGAAAAAATAAACCAAACAGGAGAACTGGTTAACCCACGAGAATCAGAGAGGCAAGCCAAGAAAAGCTGAATTCAGAACTTCACGAGTATACGTATGGAGTACTATCAATTATCGACAGGTACCAATGTACGTAGGAGTACCATTGTACTAGAGAAATCCAGATTTTAGCTGCCAAGTTTCAATAAAATCTTACTGTGCCACACAAGCTGGAACAACAGTGAAAGCAACATTCTGGATCTGGAACAGGAGTAAAAGACAAATTCATAACCAGGAAGAAAGACAAAAGGGAGCAAAAGGCCTCACCGTCAAAACTTTGGAAGTGGCTAATCTAGGAAAATGGATGATAATTGCTAAAAAGTCGTCATGAGTAGTAAAGTTCTGTTTGCCCTTGCTGTTCTAGTTTCTGGGCCCTACATAAACACATCAGCCTTTTGAAAATCCTCAGTAAGTACGGCTATTTAAGTGGACCCAATTAGAGTACTCCCAAGCCTACAAGCAAGAAGCAACTTGAAACCGTACCGCTATGGCTATGTATTGAGGCCTTGTTTAGTTTTCGGGCGCAGTTTTCGGGCGTAAAGTTACGTGGTGTCACATCGATATATATATAAAGATGTTGCTTGTTTGAATACTAATAAAAAAATAAGTTACAGAATCGTCGGTAAACGCGAGACGAATTTATTAAGCCTAATTAATCCACTATTAGCACATTTGTTACTGTACCACTTTATTTTAATCTATCAATTAGCACAAAAGATTGTTACTAGTCACCACTTTATTATTTTTTAGTTAATATTTAATATTGTATGAATCAATTCGATGACAGGACGTAAACTTTTGGAGAACTAAGGCCCTGTTTAGTTCCAATTCGCTTTTGCCAAATTTTTCAAGATTTCCGTCGCATTTTTTGGACGCATGCATGAAGCATTAAATATAAATAAAAATAAAATTAATTATTTTATAATCTTTTATAATTAGATTATGATTGGACACTAATTGCTTAAATAACAACGTAAACTTTTGGAGGAACTAAACTTAGTCCTGACTAGCCAACAGATGTACAATATGCGACAAAGAAATGGTGTGGCGCAATTGAATGCGTACAAAAACAGATTGTTTCCTGACATTACTGCCTGCAAAGAAAAATCAACCACAACCCTAGTACTCCAGTAAGTAAACATCTAGTACTGCATAGTGAATTTGGTTTCAGTACGATAATAATAATGTGCTTGAAAAAACATCACTTTGGATCGTCACTGTGTGAACAAAACAAGTTCAATTCTCGATTAGGAACAAAATAACAGTCTGGATCAAATTTTTTCCATCAGTGCATGAACCTTAAATTCACGAATTTCATTTAGCATGAACATATGTAGAAATTGATTTTTAATCGCGATATTTATTCCGAGGCTCACAGAGTAACATCAATAACAAAATTATGACTCTGTAAAGGTAACTTATATGTTAAATTTAAATCAATCGAGACATCGAGTAACATGTATAGGACAGAGAATAAGATGGTGTTTGATTGCCTCTCCTAAATTTTAGTCGTTGTCTCATCGAATATTTAGACACATAGAGTATTAAATATAGACTAATTATGAAACTAATTGCATAGTTTATGACTAATTTACGAAACGAATCTTTTAAATCTAATTAGTCCATGATTTGACAATGTGGAGCTACAGTAAACAAGTGATAATGACAGATTAATTAGGCTTAAAAAACATCTCGTAGAGTATTAACGGATTATATAATTTGTTTTTTTATTAGTATCAAAACACCTATACAACATCCTCCCGACACACCTAGAAACACCTAGTAGGTTGATCCATACACCACCTAACATGTTCACATGCCAACGAAGATAGCAGACAAATCAACATTCGTTTAGCTCATGAGCATTGATGTTCCAGCTCACCAACCATCCGGAGCTAGAAATCTCCTGTACCCAGATAATTTTTTTGGGCTTAATTAGCTTGCGTAGTACATGACATACAAAAACTCTACACAAAATGCAAAATGCAGCTTTATGCGATTAGGCCCTGTTTAGTTCCAAACATTTTCACCTCAAAGTGTCATATCGAATTTTCATGGCACATACAAAACTCTACACAAAATGCAAAATGCAGCTTTATGCGATTAGGCCATGTTTAGTTCCAAAAATTTTCATCCCAAAGTGTTACATCGAATTTTAGAGCAGATTTATGGAGCACTAAATGTAGACGAAAAACAAAACTAAGAAATTGCGAGACAAAACTTTTGAACCTAATTAGTCCATAATTAAACACTAATTACCAAATACAAACAAAAGTGATAGAGTAGTTGAAACCAAAAATTTTCGTCATCTAAACGCGCCCTTAGGTGGGTTGGGATTAAAAAATATACTACAGTTACGGATGCCGTTCGTTGACACTGGGACACCAATTCTCAGCAATCCATATAGCCATAGTTTCAATAGCAACATAGAGTATAAATCACCAGAAGATACTCACAGAAACGGGCAATGTGTATTTACACTATCCCTTGCTCCACCTTTTACTTCTACGTTACAAAATCTAATCGAGGTAGTTGTGATTTCAATCCAAACAATTTTGTAGATATCCTAAAAGCAACCCCAGACTCAACTAGTGAAGCAACCCATAGCTTCCTTTCCTCCAACGCAATAAAAAAAGTGAAAAAAAGAAGAAGAGCACTGTGTTGCACCAGTCACCAGTGTGGCCGTGTCCATCACCTGCGGCGCCTCCGGTCGGCGGCGTACTGCGAGAGCGGGACGAGCTCGGAGAGCGGCGTGGCGAGCGGCGTGGCATTGGGCGTCGGGATGGGAGAGGACCTGCAGACGGGGCACGACGCGCTCCGGCGCAGCCAGGCGTCGAGGCAGGAGACGTGGAAGCCGTGCCTGCACTCGGGCATCACGCGCAGCATCTCGCCGTCCCTGTACTCGCTGAGGCAGATGGAGCACATGGCGTCGGCGTCGGCGGCGGCCCTGCTGCTGGAGAAAGCGACCTTGGGGTAGGACGCGATGGCGGCGGCGTCGAGCCCGACGGGGGAGCAGGCCGCCGCGGCGGAGGCGGAGGAGTAGGCGGCGTCGTCGTCGGGGGACTCGGACCCTTCCGCGACGAAGAGCACGCGCGGGACGGTGATGGAGAGGTGGCCGGAGCTGGACGCCGTGGTGACCGCTTCCCCGGCCCAGTAGTCCCCGCTGCCGCCGCCGCCACGGCCGAAGCAGAAGTAGAAAGCCAGCAGGAGGGAGGCGAGCAGGACGAGGAAGCCGAGCGCGATGGCGATGGAGTAGCCGAGGCCCAGGCTGGAGAGCGAGGAGAGGAGGGACATCGCGGTGGTCTTGCCGGCGGCGGCGGCGGCGGAGGTGGCGAGTCCCTAGTGGCGAGGGCGCGGCGGAATGGCATTGACGGAGCGCGCGCACGGTGGTGGTGGCTGGTGGATGCCCGCCTGTTCGGCTGAGGCGGGCGGGCTGGCTGGGCTGGCCAGCCCCTACACTATTTACGTGAACCAAACAGCAGTAGTATGATACGACCCAGCAAACCGACTTTAACGTGGTGAAGCGGTGATATTTTGCTTTCCTTCCTCAACTCTCATCTCGCCTTGTCGCGGGGTTCAGAATTCAGATCTGGCGGGGTAGGTGCGCGGCTCGAGCGGCTACATTTATTGCCGGGGAGCAGGGACGGCGAGGAGTAATGGCGGGGACGGGGATGCTCTCTGTTCGTTCGTGCTCCGCAGCCTTGGCAGCTTGGCTGGCTCGGGCTGCGCTGGGAGTGGGAGGTGGGGAAGGAGAACGACGAGTGACCACGTGGGGGTGTGGCCGTGTGGCCGTGTGGGACGGAAACTTCTGCTGGGGGCCTGGCCGCCTGGGTCATCCGTCTGACCTCTAGCTCCAAAGGCGCACTGCTGCTGAGCTTCAGTGGCCACTGGCCAGCGGCGGCAATGTCAATTTTTGGAGGATTTCCTGTCGTGTTCTCGTCCGATCAACTGATGGTGTTGCATAACCTTTGTCGCTGGGTTTTTCATGACTTTTTAAGTGAAACGCGGGAAAGTTTCATTTGCAAGCCTGAAGAGCGAAGCGTACTCCCGTCGTGGCATCGGACTGCATAAATGCTACTATTATTACTTTCAACCTTGAAAAAACGATGACATGTAAGGCCTTGCCAAAAATTTACACCTTATCTTATCGAATGTTTAACACATGCACGAAGTATTAAATATAGACTAAAAAAATAACTAATTGCACAGAATACGACTACTTTACGAGACGAATCTTTTAAGCTTAAGTATGCCATATTTGACAATAAAGTGCTACAGTAACACATGTGATGATGACAGATTAATTAAGTTTAATAAATTAGTTTCGCGATTTAATAACATATTCTGTAATTTATTTTTTTTTAAGACCGAAACACCCCGTACGACACCTCAAAACTTTAAATCCTAAAACTAAACGAGGCCTAAGTCACAGCCAAATCTGTGTCCTTTGTGAGTTGCTATCCCGTCAGTACAGCGCGTAACTGCGCTGGTTCACCCCCATGTCATGCTTGGATATGGAAGACGTAAGCTTTCTGGAAGAGAGGAAACAAAAAGATAAAGAGTGACCGTAAGCAGTGCAACCAAAAATAGAGCAAAACGCCGTTGCCGGGGATCGAACCCGGGTCACCCGCGTGACAGGCGGGAATACTCACCACTATACTACAACGACATCGTTGTCACAAGGCAAATTGTAACACTGTTATTACTGAACACTGATTAGCGGATAACCACATTGCTCTCGCCCGAGCATGCGCACATCCCAAGTTCCCAACGGCATATTCCCCTCCCTAGTCTTGTATCTCTCGCTTTGCTTCTATCGTTCTATCAACCATTCAACCCCCCGCAAGCTTCATCTTGCCCGCTCCAGCCGAGTCTGCCGCATGTCGACCGGAGTTCCCGCTGCCGCGGTGTCCTCACGAAGGAAGCCCAAACAGGCTGGAACACGGAGTAGCTCCAGTTTTTCACGGCGACCTGCGAGGCTGTGACTGTGAGTATCATCTTTCATTTGCTCTCGCCCGTGCCAACTCGTTCTTTTTTTCTTTGAGTCTCGGTGATGCACGTCACCTGTTTCCTGAATTCAGTAGTAATGCTTAGTTAGTGATGCTCGTTTGCTCAAAATTCCATTGTTCGGGAGCTAGACCGTTCAGGTCAACAAGAGGTTGCCCATTTGCCCTCATACTGCAGAGTAAGGCAGTCGTATGGACACGGCTCAAAAGGCATGGAGTCGAAGGGCTGTTCCCTGGCGGTTTCTGCGGCTGATAAGCTAGCTAAAACTGATTTGCTATAAGAGAAAAATACTGTTCCATGACTGATAAATTTAAACGAACAACCCTTTCGACTCCATGCCTATAATAGCGTAGGCGCAGCTACGAGAACATATTAAATTTCAGCAATTGAAAACATAATATAGCCTGGACATTTCGAGCGGACAGGGCTTTGAGCATCAATATCTACCCTACTAATGCACCATCTTTTCTTTTCTACGTCCACACAAGAAAACGACCCCCCGCTGAGATGTCCCCTCTAAGTCCACCCCAAAAAGTGTACCCAGAAAAACAACATATTTCAAACGAACCGTCCAGATACACTCTAAGCATTCTCTCTCCTTACTCATTACACAATCGAGGGCTTTGATTGAGTGTATCAAATCTCCTCATTCTCGGCCACACCCACGTCATGCAGCCCCCACCGATTATTACGAACGCCACGCTGCCAAAAATCACGGAACTTCCCGGACACGCACGGAGGCGGAGGAACAAGATGGTCATCATCCCCAAAAAGCACGGCCTTGTAGTTGAAGGCGGCACTACCCGCTAAGCCCAATCTGTCCTGCCTGCTAAGCCCCCACCGCATCCCGGCCGTGCGTCTGCTCCTCCTCTCTGTTTTTCTTCGCCACCACTCGCTCCGTAGCCCTGTAGCGCGGGACTACGTCATAACTGAATGAGAATAGGATCCCGTCCCCGTTTCCATCGCCTACTACTTCCGCCGTGGGGGGCGCCGTCATCCTACTCTCACGTGTGTCCTCTGCTCCCTCCCAAACCCAAGTTGAGGCGCCACCGCCGCCTTCAACTACAAGGCCATCATCGGCGACGACTTCGAGGTCGCTACTGCTGAAGGATGGAGGGCAACTCTGATGCCTTCATGACCTCCAAGGCTGACGCGCCGTCGCCAAGCCACTCAAGGTCGCGGCATCCCTAGAAAGATCCACATCTGGGAAGCCGGGGACCGGCCGGCTCCGGCCCGGGCAGTGTCGATCGTGTGGTGCCGCAGAGCCGGGAGGGCGATGTGCGTGCGGTCGGCGATCGTCTGGCCGAGCCGCGCAGACCACCACTTGCTAAGCGCCGCCGGATCCGCCGATCGCGAAGTGCCGTTGGGCCACCGTCGCGCGCGCCGCCGAGATCCATCGATCCGATCGCACGCGCCACGGCGAGAACGAGCACCGTCGGGCCCCCTCACATGCGGTCGAGCAAGGGCGTCTCTCGAAAGGTCACCCTTCCGCTTCATGTTTGGTTTGTTAAAAAGATTTATTAAATTTTGGAGTGTTTTATCTCAATCAATGATAACCAATTTTGGTCTTGCTTTTGTTGATGCCAAATTTGATTCTTTGAACCAGTGTCTTCTCTCATGCAGAGACTGTGGGTGCACCGATTTCTTACCGGTGACGTGATGCTCTCGGAAGAGTTGGAATAGGCTTCCTTCATAAAGAAGAGAGTTAAGCGAGGTGGGCCTTTTGAAACAAGACCAAGATGAAGGTGAGACATGCACATGGTGTGCCTGTTTCCATTTATTTTCCAAAGCATACCGCGTTATAGCTATTTTTTAACTTTTGTTTTTGTATTGAATTTTCAGACGTCGTTATCATTGAGGATGAGAAGCTAATGGAAGAGACCTCAAGGAGAAGAGCCATCTGTGACCAATCGAGTGTACGGATAAATCGAAATGCAAGAACACCAATTGGGCGATGAGGAGTGTCATGCTCCTTGGCGACCCCGGGTAGTTTCATTCCACACTAAAATACATATCATTGCCTTCCCCGATTGTTTACTTAGAAGGTCCGGCTAACTAGCAATATAAAATATATGTAATTTGAGATAATTTGCAAAAACATCCCGAGCTTTGGTGCGATGTTTGTTGTTCTCATTTGTAGCAGCAGTGGTGGTTTGCAAAATAGCAATGTCAACCACAAAGAAAATCGTGATGGGCGAAAGCGACAGAGTTTCTTAGGTTACTCGGTTGATATGAAGGGTATTGTCAACTCTTTCCTTCCGAGATCTGAATCAAATTTACGCATGATTATTTTTAAACTGTGTCCAATAAATGTCAAAATTCTTAATATATTTATTACTAAGATTCTTATGTTTGCTATGTGGTTCAAAGCGATAACACAGTGTCAAAAGGTGGTCTGCAGTTTCAATTAATACTCTCAAAATGGTTTTTGTGATGCGTTTCAAATATTATAGCTAAATTAGTGTAGAAATTAAAACTCCCGCCATTTTTTTTCTTGAATCTTATATATTTCATTTTATTCTTGACTATGGAAGCGTATATTGTCTTTTGGTTGTTTTGGTTTGAGTTGCTCGGGGTCCCCCATGAGAGCCAGCCACCGGGCAAGGGAGACTGGTGGGGTGCGCCGCCTGCTGGGCTAGGCAAGGCCGCAATCGTCTTGGTGTGGCGGAAGTCGATGATGATGCATCGATAGCTCATGCACCTCTGCCGTAAATCGATCCAAGCTGCTTGGACGAGAGGGTTAGGCTCATCATCATACCATTTGTATGTCTTATTTTTTTTGCCACGTGGTTTTTCATGTTCTTGATTGGTCCATTTAATGCCTCATATCTTGAGATTAAGGTTAAGTTATTGAATTTCGATGTTTTACAAAAAAAAAGAATTTGGGAGAATTTTAGAATAGGAAGTGGGTATTAGAAAATGTATGTTTTCAGGAATTTTAGATTAATATATTTGGAATGAAATATATTGTTTGGGGAATTAGTCAAGTGATTATATACCCTTCGCATAACTAGAGTCCTAGGCATACCTACTACGGTGATGTTTTCATTGCAAAGAAAACTGGTAAGAAAAAGTAAAAGAAAAAAACAAGTATCTTCCTTTGGATTGACAATATTCACTGAGACATGTTGGAGGAAACATTTTATATGCCATATGAAATTGATGCATCAGTAGTACTTCAGAAGCCATAATTTGATAAAAGCTATGATGCTAAGTAAGATTTGTAGAGTAAGGCTCAGTATCCTTTTGTTGAAATTCAGTTGAACAAGAAATAGGCCAACACATCA